GGAATTTGATATAAAGCGCCTTGGAAAAACCTGGAGTTAGCAAGGATGCCGAGAATTGAAAAAATTTGGGAACCACTGCGCTAGACAATAGGAACAGTAGCTCAACCTAATCTCCTTGGTCGAAGATAGTGAGAAGACGTGATATGACTGATATGACTGGACTTCTTGTTCTTGCAAAATGAATCCCTGGGGCTCTGGCTCAGGAGTTCATTTGCAAGAACTCTACGACAGTTTACTAGCTGACATTCGCGATAGATGCACAGGTAATTTTTGATATCATTTACCTTTCCTGTCCCATCAATAATTTGAAGAGATGTGGTCTAAGGATTTTTTTTGTTTAGTCCGGATGTTCTATTTCGTCATGAGATACGTGGAGCACGGATTTTATAAGGTTATGTAGTATCATAATCACTTTTATCTTCGTGGATTTTAAAGCAATACGAATGAGAACATTACCTTGAAAGAATATAAACGATGAATTTGACGTAAATGATTGGGCTGCAATTTGAAAATATTGTAGACCTATAAATTCCCACTGTCTTAATCTCGAGAACGGAGTTATATAGATGAAAGACGAGATCAGATATGAAAATCTTAGAAGCAGGAAGTCCCGATTAACTATATAGGAATTTCCAATGCAAATCGGAAATTACGTTATTTCAATTCAAAAATGTTCCCCTGAAAGGAATTAGATTAATGACCTGCATGACTCTGTTGCTAACAGAAAAGTATGATGTACAAGATCAAGACTCTACTAATTTGAGGCGGAGTGTGTATATTTTATTTACATATAAAATTATTCCTATTATATATGCACTAAGAAAGTCTTTATTGGGATGCATTATAGATTTGGCAAGGCCCATGGGCATGTAAACGGTGAAAAATGCAATGTCAAGACACAAGACTATTATTTAATATTTTTATAGATCTGACTCACATTCAAATTTGGCTTCCTAGAACAGCAGGAACATGGCTTAGCCATCTTGGTCATCCAGTTATTTGCCTTAATATCAAACTACTTTACTTGAATATTTTAAATGAGTGCAAAGCAATTCATTTATCGTCAGCCAAGTATGTATCAATATTTGCAGGACTTTATGATATGGAATAAAATTACTTAAATTTTAAAAAGTTTCTTGATTAATAATGAATTTTTATTTCATTTTTCTAAAAGATATAACAAGCATGCATAGGCGTATGTTACAATCGTAAAAAATAGAAATAAAGTAAAATTTCTCATATAATGCGATGATAATCAAGTTCTTGTATATACTTCAAAAGCAGTGCCGTATCTAGCCATTCCTGTGCCCTGTGCAAGAATTTGCATTTAGGCCCCTTAAAGCAACTCTCATATTTTTTGCTTTGCTTTAATTTTGTATCGCAAGACTCTTCCATTATTCCCCTTAATTCTAACCCCGTTTCTTTATCTTTTCTCATACTATCTCCTTATTTAAGGATAGTTTTCGAGCATATCTTAACTCTATGTGAATTGCTTACAGCAGCTCATTTCTGCGAGTACAAGTCGAAAGGCTTCGAGACAGAATCGTGCGATGATCCGTCGAAATCCCACTCTTTACAGACAGCGATCACGAAATTCACTACAAAATCCAAATTTTTAACATCAAATTGAGTCGTTATGCAACAATAAAATTTTCTTGTTGAGTGAGGATTTATTGTTGACTCGTGCGATTATTTATTGCGAGTGTTTTCTAGAGTTTTGCTTCATTTGCAGCTTTTATAAGTTTGGATTGCGTTTTTCTAGATTTAAGTATTTTTTAACGTAAGCAAAATACTGTATTACAATTAGTGGCGATCGTTTTCCATAAGAATTGATCGGTTTCCTTCAGAGGAATCTAATTTTTTTCATTGGTAATTTTCCAATCGAATTGTTAAGTGAAAATTAACAAATACTTTAAATTTCTTATTCCCCGCTATAGTTTTTATATTACATACGTATATACATTAATATCCCGTCTGAACCTTAATTAATTAGAATAATTCGAGTTCATTCGTCGTCTCGTTTCCTCTATTTTCTTTGTTTCGATAGTAAATAGAATAGTACAATTTTTTTATAAACTAATTTCTCTATCAAACGTTAAAAATCGACAAAAAGATTAAAATTATTATGTATAACAAATGTAGATTTTATTATAACATTCATTTCTAACATTGAAACAGTCACGTGAGACGAGACTGGTCATAAAGAAGTCCGAAGAAATCGTAGAAGAATCCGTCAAGCGTAAAAGATCTTGATGGAAAAGGCTGGTTTTGTGCTGGAAAAAATAACCTTCTACCGTTATGCTGTTGTTTAAGCGACTATAAGTGACCAAAGAAACTTATATTATTTTGACCGGTTCTACTAGTAAAACATTTCACCACAGAATAATGCACTACGGGAGGAAACCAAGATTGGATATTTATCGAAGTTGCACATTTTTAGATTAATTTATAATTAATTATAATGTTTTCAACAGTTATGACGGATGAAGAAAAAAGAAAAAAATGTACACGATTCATAACGAAACAAAAATATTCAAATTTAATGGCAAAATGTAATTTTAATGCAAGTTTGTAGTAAAACGATCGTATGAAAAATGAAATTACATTAAACCAAGGTCCGCGTGTTTGTATTGTTTCTGATACAGCATTACTAAATCCAGTAAATGTAATAATTAATTTGCACGATTACCTCGTGTATAACGAAATGTTTTAATGGCAGAAGTGGCAAAAGCATCAATATCTTTTCTGGGGAATCGGGGATCGAATCCCAGTAGAAAACTTCAAGAATTTTTCATGGAACCCGTGTCCCAGATATGGCAGGTCCCATTTTTCATTTCTCATGCCCTGTTCTGGGTCCTAGTCGACCTCACGATGGGTGTCGAAAAAAGTCGTCTTAGTGCAAACAGGATGGAAATAACTAAAAATTGAATTAACCAGAGATAACGTAGCTACTTACTGGAGGTGTAGAGCCGTTTGTAATTCACGAAAAAGTAATTTCTTTTAATAATTATTTGTGTACAAAAGGCATCTTGTCTCTGGGATTTCGTTCGAGATGAAAAATCGTACAGACTAGTTACTTTTACGTTATCCATCCCTAGTTTTCTAAGGAGGATAACGCAAAAGGTGATCTGCAACTTTACACTTTTTTCTCCGAGTGTGTTTTACACTTTGAATTTGAATTGAGATAAATAGACGATATAGCGGGAAAATTTCCTGATATTTTAAAATTCGTTATAATATAGCTGTTGTGAAGTTGTCTGTCACAGAGGTAAATAGATGTTCGTGTAAATAATTCGAAATTTATCGACGATGGCCTAGTGAACGGCGGTGCATTCGAGTGACTATCTCTTTGGGAGTGACAACACTTGTTTTGTATTGTTATGTCACTCCCAAAAGGGGTATAAGACATAACAATACAATACAAGACATATCGAGATCATATGTTTTGTTGATTAGCTTATCAACTGTCTGGGATTTTTATTTTTAGGTTGTAGACAATATCTTGATCTTCAATGTCGGCGATAATCTTCTCTACTGGGGGTCTAGCTTCATGGGCTCAGGCAGATTTGAATTAAGGGGTCCCATGTACAATGTTGACTCAGACATTTTTCTTCGGGGAAAGTTGTGGGGAAACATTTTCTTATAAAAGATTGGTTTCTATGAACAGAATAAACAATTGTCTGGAGATCCAGGCAATTGTTCCTTTTGTTCATGGAATAATGCGCTACTGTCTTTACGTAAGGTTCGCTCAGCGTTTATACTGAGAAACTCTGGTCGGGAAATTTTTCGTTTGAAACAAGAAGCAAGCTCGGTAAACCAATTGTCTAAGATATCGATTCCATTTCCATTTGTTATTTTTTATTCTCTAGCTGTTCCTGTTAGGCAAGATCGTGCATTAATAAGAGTAAGCGAATCTGTCCAAGCCCAATTCTTTTCTCTTCTGTTATCCATTTTAATACGCTAACGAGTTGGGCACCGCTAATTACTGGTATTGCTATCGTTTGTCGTATGTAGCTGAAAGGACGGTGGAAGCGATAGTTTTTGCACGTATTATTTAAGTTTTGTAATAACTAAAGCGAACATTGAGTATTATTTAACAAATTAAACAATCGTTAAACAAGATTATAATTTTCTCACTGAAGAATTCTATCAAAACCACCATATTTCGATTAAAATTTTGGAGTTAATGTCGGCTTTTTTGGCCACGATATCAGCATTTTTTTTTAAAATTACAGGCTAAAAACCATGATTTAATCCATATAGATAAACACGAGTCTCCAATTTTAAGTATTTGTGAGAAACTACAGAAAACTGAGGTACTGTATTTTAGCATTTTTTAATTTAAAATTTTAAACGTTAGAGAATTTTACAAATTCGACAAATATTTTTAAATTGTTGAAGAAAAATGCGATAGGAAATAGCATATTTTCATTCCTTTAGTAGTTCGTCATTAACGATGGTATTTTGTAATACACTTCAAGAATCAATAATGTTTTTTTTCTATTTAAAAAAAACTCTTTTCGCCCTCTGGACACTAAGAGGGGCTCCATTAGCAAGCCCATTATGATTTCGGCCAGGTCCACAATGGGATGGTTGGATGGTGAGGGATGGGGCCCGACATATCCGAACGGACCATCCCAGAAAAATTTCTGGGGATCTATCGACCCGTCCGGATTCGAACCCGGATCCCCAGAAGAGCGGCAAGTTACCACCTTGCTCATACGGCCGAATCGATAATGTTTATTTATTTTAAGTTAACATATAAATTATACGACATTATACTAATATTACATCACACGTCATAAAAATTAATAAACATTTATTATCTCTAGAAGATAAAAATTTAAATTTGAAGTAATTATAACAAATTAATACTTTTTCTTTTACCGACATCTTTAATAAATTTTTATAATTATCTTCTTACGAAAATAACGGATAATTTTATTTAATTTATTAAATATAACAAAAAAAAAAAAAAAAATTCGATTACTCATATCTGGCAATCCGTTTTCAAAAGTGAAAACTATTATCGTTTACAAAGATGGCGGATTCCGATGAAACTCGAATGAATCTTGCAGCATTAAAAAGAGTTGATTCTAATATAAAACTTATTATAGATAATGCCAGCCAAGTTGCTTTGTATAAATTTAGCCCTAAAGCTAATGAATGGGTAAGTTTTCTTTTATACAATAGAATTATTATAAATTATGAATATTCTAATTGAAAGAAACTTATTCTTTTAAATTTAATTAAGAATACTTTTTAAATATTAAGTAATGTATAAAGTATGGTAATAGAATAATATAGTAACCATTACTATGTTATATAATTAATGCTGAAGATTTAGGAATGAAAATGTAAATTTTGGTTTTGTTTTTGTTTTTCAGCATCTTTTGATAGAATCTGTTTATTTATTTTTATTATTTTCATATTTTACTAATGTTTAAAACATTTATGAATTATTTATATTGAGGATAATGTCTAAATAATGACCTAGATTAATTTAATAAACTTTAAATGGTGTATGAAAAAGTATACATTTTTCATTGAACTTTTTATATTAAAATAAGTAGTAATTTTACTTTCTTTATAATATAATTTGAGAATTTTATAAGTATTCTTTGCAGTTAATAGCAAATCATATATTTGAATGGTATTATCTTATTCTATATTATTTTCTGTATGTTGCAATTATAAGACGGTTATTACACGTATGAAATTTTTTTAAAAAGAAGTTATTGACTGTAATTCATATTTGGAAATTTTAATAATACATTGATTAAAATTATAGAGTATTTATGTTTAATTTCTTAATGTTTTAATAATAATAATTTTGGTAGATGTTCGCTTAGGTAGCCCAATGGTGATATCGTGTTTAACAACTTATCCCGTGCGACTGTGCCGGCTTTGAGTAGTCCACTTGTCTGTTCGTAGAATACTTGATGTTATATAGTTTAGGGGGGTGCTAAGGTGCGAGCGATAGTAGCATCGAGCACACGCTTATGTGCAAAGCACAGGATGGTGGGTAGACCGATACGTGTTAAAAACTGATCTTCGTAGACAAATATCATGCCAAGAGTTGACAATTATGGGGGTAGTGTGATTTATGTAAAAAATACGAAATAAAATATCGATTTTGCTAAAAAAGTAAAGGCTGCCGCCATTGGGGCTACCTAGGTGACCGTTTACCTTTTATTTATTTACACCACAAATTATAAAATCGATGATGTTTGTTATGTGTAGCATATGTAGAAAAACTAACTCTACGGACAAATGCTAATGTTCTGGATTAATCAAAATGTTTGAGACGTGACATTGACATATTGTTTATATTATGTAGTAATGAATAAGTTATGTGAAAAAACTATAAAAATTATTTACTGAAACAACTACACACATGCACATATAATTTATTAGCTATGTAGTGATGATATATAATTAATAAAATAATATATTATAAAAGTAAATAGTTATAGTGATATACATATCTAATATATAATTGAGATGGGTTGATAATGTTAATAATAATAAGCGCAGAGCCCAAACGGTTAGGAGTTGAAAGTTGAAATTTGTTACACATTTAGGGTACGTCACGAAAACGCGCACTAAGAAGGATTTTTTGAAATTCCCCCCCGGGGGAGAGATACAGGATTAAGGCTTCGACAATGGAAGTGTTAAGTAACAATGGAAGTGTCAACAATGGAAGTACTAAGTAACAATGGAAGTGTCAACAATGGAAGTACTAAGTAACAATGGAAGTGTAAGAGAAAGCGACATGCAAGACGCAGATGCAGTTTTTTTCGTTTTTGCGGGAATTCAAACATATTTTTAGACCCATCTATAAATTCTCTAATTAGTCCGGAAACAGGGGGACCCAATTTTTGCATTCTGTGAAAATGGGCAAGGTTGACTATAACATAATAATCTTAATCTTTGCTATCATTACTTTTGCCCGAGCAACGCCAGGCCTACCTGCTAGTATTACTATAACTATTTACTACATGTGCACAAAACATGCATATGTACAATTATAACACACCTTTTTTTGTTGCCAAGATAGTTTTAAATAAATAAAACTATCTTGGCAATGAAAAAAAGGTGTGTTATATTTGTATAATTGTTTGCTGAGCGTTCGGTTACATGCATATGCATATTAGTTTTATATAACAATATTATATATACTGTATATATTGTACTCTTTACATAACAACAAAAGATAACAGTATTAAACAAACAAAAAGTCTATTATTTTCTTACTAGACTTTGTTTGTTTAATGCATTAGTATATGTATTATATACTTTTATAATTAGCTGTTTGTAATTTATGTAAGTTCCTTTCCTTTAAATCGAAATATGTTGGAAATATTTTATGTTCACTGCAAAACTGTTTTAAAAAGCTTGTACAAATTAATCAATAATGAGAAGAATCTAACTACAATGATCTTGCTAATTAAAAATAGTCATCCACATTTTTCTACACTTCCATAATTGAATAGATATCCAATCTGTATCGTTAATAATGAAAAAGATCAATTATTGCATTATATTAAAACTAATATTTTATTGTCATAGAAGATAATGAACATTATCTTTTAAAACTTTTCATATCTAAAATTAGTAATGAACAGTTTTGGAAATGGACAATGAATGTGATTTAAACTTTCATTACCATATTAAACTTTGAAAAATTAACAGAATTATAATAATTTAAGATATTTACATTGATAAAAGGAATAGTCAATTATAAAAGAATTATTGTCATTCTGTTAA